TAAGACCTCTAGAATTCTATTGCATTGTATAGTTTCATATCATGACTTTTGTTTGTCGAATCGATGACGGATAATTGAACCGCCTGAACACAGCATCAAATCCAATATACGGCTGAGTCCGAGCTGATGGGTATTCCTTGAGCATACATGCGTATAATTCTACAGTAAGCCAAAACAATGTAATACGAGATCAAGTATCCGAAGATGACTGCATGAAAGGAAGCGGCATATGTGTAACATCAGAATTTTACCATGTTATATTATACTTGCTGCTGACCTCCGGACCGGTATCCACGGATTGCTGACCTGGAGCTTTCTTCATACCTATATTCACTTTACTCTATTCTTACTGCAAATTTAAGTCTGCTATGGCTGATTCAATCGATCTGTCTGCCAGCAGGCAAGCCAATTTGTACGCAGCAGATATCATCACATTTTTCGCAGCTGTAGTAGCTGTGGGACTTCGCGTTTGGTCGCGGCGAGTTGCTGGTGCTGGCTTGTGGTTGGATGATCTTTTTATTTGCATAGCACTGGTACGTTTCAACTTCTGAAGAACAGCTCGGAATTAATCCTATCCAGGTTGGCGGTGTTGCGATGATGACTAATTTTTGTTGGTGTAAGTTTGAGTTCTCTGCACTCAATCACTCCTATCACTGTTGCTCATTCAACACTAGGGATACCAAACGGATTTGGTAAACACATGGAGGCATTTGGCCCAAAAGCGGAGTACAATTTCTTCTTGGGGTTCTTCATGGCTGAAGTGATATACACTGTCATCATCGTCTTCGTCAAATATTCTATCCTGGCCTTATACTGGCGAGTCTTTCGAAGCACCAGTATCAAATGGCCAGTAGCAATACTAGCGGCGATTGTCACATCTTGGGGAATTGCAGTTGTAAGCGATCCATCTGTCCATCAACTTCCAGGATTCTAATTCAATTCATCTAGCTCTTTCTCTCCATTTTCACCTGCGTGCCTCCAAAAGGCTTCTGGGATAAAGATATACATGCTTCTTGCAACGTCAATAGCCAGCAATTCCTGATCGGTATTTCGGTTCCTAATATCCTTACGGATGTTGCTTTGCTGTTATTACCAATCCCGTATGTTTTGCGATTGAACACAGCCTGGTCTCAGAAACGACTCTTGATGGGCACATTCCTGCTTGGAGGATTGTAAGTTCTCAAAAAGTCATGTAACTTATGTTTGATATGCATTTACCCTAATATCGATCTGTTACAGCGTCTGTATAGCATCAATAATGAGATTGATTAGTGTTTGGCAGCAGAATTCGGTTTCGGATTTTAGCTGGAACTGGGTGAACCAGGGGATATGGGCGGTGGTGGAGAGTAATTTTGCAATAGTATCAGGTATGTCGCTTCACTTGCCTTAATACACTATCCAATTTTTATTTCTCCCATCCTGAATGAAACATACTGATGAAACCCGACAAAAGCTTGTCTCCCTACACTGCGCATCGTATGGGTGTGTTTATTCAGGCGCAAGAAGAACGCAACATCACCACCATCCTCAGATAGACCAGCGATTTGGACAATCGGATCGGGGCCAAGCAAACAAAATCGCAAAAGAAAGGGGGAGCTTACTCTCGGGGAATCAATGTCGACCGACTCAACGCACCCGTTCACAAGCTTGCATGATGCTGAGGAAGGCAATATCTCGGTGGATAAGGTGCATGTGCGTTCAAGCATAGAGGTACACTCAGAAAGGGATACTATGAGCTCTCCTTATCGGGAGAACTTTAATATGGTTCCTTTGAAACGTTGATCAGAATCGTTGAAGAGAAGAACTCCTTCTTTTGCTTCAGGAACTCCAAACAGATTTATTTCGATTCAAAGCGTACGCGTCTTAAGATCCAAACATTTCACTATCAATGTAACTTCTATTTATCTGCTCTTATGCTTTTATTACTGTTCGAGCTAGAACCTCAACATTCTGTACGCCATCCAACAAGTGTAAGTGTGGCAGGTAATCATTTTGTCAATCAGCAGCATGTATTTGTCACAAATTTGTTCAATACTCATTTTTTTATCGGCGCAGCAGAATTTTGACAGCTACGTCAAGTCAGTGTAGTGTATACAAATACAACAATGATGAGGACACTCTGCCACCCCAGAGCTTGCTAGAATTCTGGAGTAGGGCTTGTTTCCAATGGGGTGATTTGGCTAGAGTATAGCTGGCCCAAACAACACTCTGTCTGGCAATGAATAATGGAGGCAGACTGTCTCCCATAGTCTAGATCCTGATGGCTCTACCAAGTGTTTGTTCAGCAGGTCGTGCAACGTAGGAAGCGAGTCCATTTCGGCTATAGAATGGGGACCGATCCAGAAAGTGGGGCTGTTCGCGTCAAGAGATAAAAGCTTTGTACTCTCCTACGTTAGTTTAAACATCCAACTACCTTTCAGAGCACGCAAGAAAGAATTTGAAGACTAAAAGTTCCACAAATATTCCGTGCGCAAAATTAACTTGTGTGACGCATGCGGATTACTATTCTGGGATGTGTGAATGTAGCGACACTTGCAGCCAGACGGTGAGTATGAAAGACAGACCGATGCAAGAACTAATAAGATAATTGTAAGGAAAGTACTCTGAATTTGCGAAGTCCGATCACGTACACTATATCGAGTGGTAGCTCCTAGACTGACGTAGAGGACGAAAGCAGATTGCCACCACAAGCGAAATCAATAAATTCAGTTCAGGGGCCAAAGATATGATTTGATCCAGTGACTTTGCTTATTTATTACCTCAAGGAGAATTAGTAAGAATGACCGAGAGACAAAATCTACTGTTGACTGAATAACCTGTGTAGGGAGCGGGGTAATGATATCGACATCCTTATTTGTCGAGCCGCTACTTAGCCAAGGTTATGAAACGGACAGGAAGCATTGTTAACTTGGTTAACAATGCCCCATGTCAACTGCATAATCTCTAGTGTACTGCTACTTGGCGAAAGTTGTGAAACGGTCAAGGAGCATTCTTATTTTCCAAAAGATCATACTACAATGGGAAGCATTGAATTGCATTGCGGCTTACGGTGTAACTTGCGACGAAACGACAACCAATCCGGCCGGAACCCGAACAATCTGCCGATTCGGGTCATTCCTTGTGGCCGACGCCCGAAATGGTTCGGCACGATATAGCTCATGAGATGAAAGGCTTGGCATCTAGCATCAAACAACTGCATCTGAAGAACAAAATTTCGAAGCTTCCAAGACTTCATCACGCAGTGTTATTCCCCAAGGCATACTCCGTACTACATAACCTGCAATTCTTTGTGCGTAAATTTGTACGTCATCGATACTGTGTTTCGACAAGGCTGAATTCTCGAGTTCTGGGAGTATGCTTATGCGACAGCTGGTTACATGTTTAGTACCGTGGCTGTTGCGCAAAGCGACCTTTCTGTATGTTTATCGTACTTACCTCCGGGTAGATGTATCGATACAATATTAAGCAAGAGTTATTCTTTGCGCATTGAGATGACAAGTCTGAAGTGTGTAGCCATGAAGCTCTTTGAACCTGAAGCCGATGGAAAATAAGATTCGGGTCAACGTATATAAAATAGGTATGTTTCAGAATAATGAATTTTCAAAAAAATTATGAGTGTATTGCGACCAAAATGGTCAGATTCCTGTACAAGGCTGGGCTTTGTTTTTTTGTAAGGTGCTTGAAACGACCAGTGCATCCCCGAATTTGATTCAATATAGTTGGGCTCGAAGCAATTTCGATTCTGGACACTTCGTTCGATGAATTGCTTGAATGTTCTGGAGACTTATTCTTACTGATTTGCTCTACTCGACCTTGAACTGTTTTCAAATCGGAGCCACAACTACTAAAAATAGTAGTCTGCAAGTAATCAGCATTTTGCCTAAACTTTAGTCTTTCCCTAAGCGGCGAAATATTGTAGTTTGCAAATAAGTCCCAGATGGTTCGCATCTTGCCTCATTGAAAATGTTTCTCGAACAGCAAAGTATTGTGCTTTGCAAGTAATCAGCATTCTGCCTGAACTTTACTTGTCGGCTATTCATAATATGGTCAACCACGCCAGGTGGTTGGTAGCACCAACTCCGAGATGCAGCAACTCCGACACGTTCGACTTTTTCAAAACTTCGAATCTAAGGTTAATAGTGTGACCTCAATATTCGATCCTCAAAAACTTTATGATTAGAAATAATATAATAAAAAGAAAATTTAATAACCATATTAAGGTAATCTTAATAATCATATTGATGTATTTAGATATGAAATTAGTTGTGTAGTTGAATTGATATTGATTATTGAAAAAATCGAATGTATCGGAGTCGCTGTATGTCGGAGTTGGTACTATTAATCGCCTTGGGGTGGTTGGTAGAATTTTTCTGAAAGCCGACAAGTTTGCCAGGTGGTTCGCATATTGCATTATAAAATGGTAGAGCCTCAAATGGAGAGGCTCAGTTATCCATGCCTCATAAAATGATAGAGCCTCAAATTTAGAGGACCTAAGCGGGCCAAACGAAAAAGAGCAATGAGGATTCGTGTCCTACGTATACTTGACCACCATTCTCATAGGTTATAACACATCCCCGACAGAATCAACATGCACGGCACCATACAAAACACGTATTTAACTAATAAGTAAAAAGTAAGCAGATCATCCGGAATGTCATTCCATTGGAGAAATCTCTCTTAATTGCAACTAAGTAATGTGGGTCCCCCACGAAACTACGCTAGTTGCTTGGGGGATGGGAGTAGCCGAGCTTCTATTTGCATGGGGGATGGGAGTAGCCGAGCTTTGGAGATGAATGACCGAAGAAGTGGCTCAAGGATTTCTCTGGGAACTTCATTTGACACTTTGCACTCACATATATAAACGCTTCATTTCCCAAGTTGTTTACTCTTTTCTTTCTCCAGATAAGTTCTTCTTGCTCAGCTTTTCACAGTCCAATTGTCAATTCTCTCTCGCCAAAGACGAACTAAACACCTACATACCTTCCATCCATAATTCAACCATGTCGAACACGAGTAAGAGCTCCTGCATTGCTGTACAAGGCTCTGTAACCTCCGAGTAAGTTCTAGGTTCATATTTTAGTTTCCTACATTGATGATACTGCAGGGGCTGTCTTCTACAGTTCCCAATATACCATATTGTTCCCGAATAGCTATTTTCCTTCTGTCCTCCAGCCTACTAGACTTTAAGATACTCTTTCAGCAGTGTCTGCATTGGATCAAGTGTCCTGCAACTCTTTGTCCCTGTCCATCTTTGCAGATTCCGGTTTCAGCTGCTATGAAGTTATCCATGGCCATCATCTACTAATATGCAATGCAACGCTTTGGCTTTTGTAGAGCGCTCTTTCATTCCTCCCCTTCAACTGTGTCCGCTTTCAAAGAATCCTTTTAACGTACCTTCTTTATTTAGCCCAAGCACTACCTCGCATAACTCTTCAACCGCTACCTCCTCCACTGAAGCTGGAAATCTCTCTACACATCGTATTCAATCCTACCTTGCCGACAACGACGCTCCCGTGCCATATGCCTTGCCTGCTCTCCCTGCCGACGGCAACAACGACAGAAGTTTGACTGCTGCACATACAATGAGCGGGAAGTTGCAGCAGTTCGATGCAATATTCTATGGTAATTGAGAAGGTTGACACAACACTTGAAGGTTCAACGTGGGCTTGGCAGCATTTTATGGTTATAAGAGAAGGACTGGGAGGCCTTCGGGATGATTCGATAACTTAACAAAAATGGAAAACTTGTCACCAGTTTGGTAAAATCTTCAATGAAGTTTCTATACAAAGTGACATTAAGATAATAGTAAGATTATGTACGCTCAATCGTGAGTTTTCTTTTAATCAAGAGACACTTGGGCACTTGTATAAAGGCTACGTAGAGAAGGACCAACCAACTTTGTGGTCATGAAGTAATGGTGAACGTGTCTGGTGTGTTCTACCATAGTAAGTGTAAAATCTGTCCTCGATCGCTTGTGAGAACAGGAATCACCGTGAGTCATTGATACAAATTTCATGTACCATTCTCTCCACAACTCAAGTGGTTAAGACAGGTAAGCCTCTAACATGATGTTAAGTGTACTCTTGTGAAAGGGTGAAGCAAATCGATATCCCAGACTTCAGGAGATTCAATAGGACAAGCTGGTGCTCTATGATTTTCGGAACTGGTGACCTTGACACGGACCCGATGAAGATTTCTCGTTCTAATCTACGACGAAAAGGAGACACAAGTCAACGACAAGTTAGGAGATGAAGCTTTTAAATCAGTGTTGGTCATTCGATCTGCATTTGTCCCTTTTCAACTCGAATAGCAACTTCAGTGTCAATCGTCCGGAAGAAAGCCATAAAGTTCTACTGGAACTCATGCAACGAGGCGAGCAGCGTATTTGCTGACCGCCATGCTTCCCAACTCGTGATTGTATCTCGAAAATGTTGGCAAGTAGCACGTGAAGCGTGGGTCTAAATCGGCGAATCAGAATCCTGGAAGTAAGTTGGTTTCCTTCTCAAATCATACTTCACCATCTTGCCTTGTAAGATGGCCTGTTGGTATGTTGAAATGAGTATGAGTGGAGAGATCACATTGTCGGAAGATGAAAGACAGGGGAAATTAACTTCTCACTAGCAACAAAACAGGAATAGTGTAATTCTGCAATGTGGGGTTCGACCGATAAGCTCTAGCGTCGTGGGAACTGCGTCATTAGATGATCCTGCAGCTTTTGAAGCTTAAGCGGCTTTTCTCCTTCATCTATTAAATACCCAGGTAGATAATTGAATTTCGATCTTTCTATTAAGAACATTGGAGTAGAAAGGCCTTTCATAGCAAGCAAGCAATACGATTGATATCATACTATTCTGAAGGAATTCTACATTACTATCTTGTTTACAAAGTACATAAAAAAAGAAATCAAATCAAGGTTCTTTCACCCAACGACATTCAAGAGCCTAATCTTATTACTAGGCGTAAATCTTTAGTCCAGCCTTATCGTACAGCTCCAGAGATTATCGAGCTAATCAACCCACCTTGAGAGCAAACAAACCAAACGAGCCAAGAAGCTTCTAATTCCACCAAGCACACCTACGTTCTTACTCAACCTGAACATACGATAAACAACTAAAAATCATCTCATAACACAGATTCCATCATCAAAATGTCATCTACACCTACGTTAATCGGTATGCCCGAACCTCCATCAAATGTTGATACTCCAGTCGATGCACCGTACGTAGCTGCCCCCTCCACCACCACTCTCTAACAAACCACTAATCTAATTCTCTCCAGAGGAACTCCCAACTCAACTACCACATCCCTCTCCGCTCTCTCCACAACCGCCATCAAAGATGGACATCGCGGCTCTGCCCACCCTACCGCAAGTTCTCACCACCAACACACCCTCTCTAGCAACACCCTCGAAGCACAGCGCGCAGATCGTATTTCCCGTCTGGCAGGACTCGAACGAGTCACCACCGCGACTCCTCAAAACCCCAGCGGTAACACCTCTGTCCCCGCAACCGGTCAGATCCCAGGCTATTTCGATCAAGCCGGAAATCCCGTCTACACAACCCGCATGTCTACTGTAGGTTCTGCATCGGCAACTGGATCTCTTACTGGCCGAACAACTACATGGGCATCTAATAGCGCGAAAGGACAAACGGAAGCCGATGATGATGAAATGAGCATGGATAACAACTTCCGGGAAATCGATGATCGGGATCGATTTTCCGCATCTGCTATGGATGAAGAAGGCAACGAGGATGGAATGAGCGACGATACGAGTTTAGTCGGATTTGGCGAAGGAGCCGGCAGTACCGTCAGCGGACCAATATACAGCCGGAGTAATCTCCTCGCGAGTCCCCTCACCGTAGGAAAAAGCGGTCTAGCCAAAGAAGTATCAAGCAGCAATCCCGGAACCCCCGTCAGCGCATCGACATCTACAACCACCGAGCAGCAAAAACGCGATGCGAGAATGCTAGATGGAATCACAGATGATAATACAAGTGGATATGTAGACACGGCTGCGCGGGGTCAAGGGGTGGGAATTGCCGGGAATCGCAATTCGACCGGTTCAGGATTGGGTACGGGAGTCGGTGCGGAAGCTGCAGAGAAGATTCTGAAAGAGAGAATTGAGGATAGTCCTTCTGCGGCGAGTAGACCACCGCTTGGTAGTCCCGATCAAGCTGGTCTTGGCAAGTTCTACTTCGAGGAAAAGAAATAAGATTTCTTTGTACCAAAATTTGCCATGGAGAATTGTGGGATGTGTGTAGGACAGAGTGCATCGAATTTTCCAAAGTCTGCATCGTTCAATATTGGCGGGCGTTGACGTGTTACCCTTTCTTTCTTTTTTCTTTTTCTCTTTCTATGTATGGGTACCTACGATTTGGGCTGGGCTAGGCTAGGCTGGGTTGATAGCGGACAGGTTGGGGACACTGGAGGTGGGAGGGGGGGGTTCTGGAAAGATTATTAGGTGGTTGGGCAGGCTTCTTCTTGTGATAGGTATGCTGCGTAAGAAGATACGATATTCTATGATGGATGAAATTGATTGATTGATTCATGAATGAATGAATGATTATGTGCATGCATGCATACATACAAGACTTCAAGTATATACCAATTTCAATAATTTCAATGTGAATTTCAATATATAAAGGGAAATGTAAAGAATAACGGACACCTGTATCTTTCATCTCCATCTCCATCTCCATCGATTCAAATCGAACCCCTTTCCCCTCCCCTCCCTTCTTCTCCTTTCGTTACGTAGCGAGAAATCGATGATTGCCGGTATATTCCTCATTCGCATTTCACTTCACTTAACTTAACTTGACTTCCATCACATCCCACCATACCACATCCTACGATATCAATTCACATTCAAAGAATTTTATAGGTACCGCAAATCACTATATTAGATTATAGTAGTATAGGTAGGTAGCTAGGTAGCTAGGTATTATCATATACATCATATGCACCAAGATCCTCACCTCACCCAATCCCTCTCATTTTCACCTCTTCATCATTTCCTTCTTTATATCCACCTATCCATTCATGCTCAGCTCACATGCCACATGTCCGCTCGATTTAATTCTCAAACTTCAATTGTCAAATTCACCACTCCATGTTCATCATCCCTGTATTCATGATCTCTAAACCCTTTAAAATACCCCCTCACTTCTTAAAAGTTGCGCTTCGTCCTCCTCTCTCCCCATTTTGCACTCTTCTCATTCCCTTCTCCGCATTACTACTCTTCTGATATGGATCAAAGGGTTTCTTTTCTTTCTTTCCCTTTCCACCCTTTCCACCTTTGTCTTTCTTATCCTTTTTGGAATTAAGTACCGACTCCGCTTTGCTGTAATCGAAATCTTCTTCTTCTTCTTCTTCTTCTTCTTCTTCTTCTTCTTCTTCTTCTTCTTCTTCTTGTCCTTGTTCTTCATCCGCTTGTTCTGCTTCCGATTTCTCTACGTCCTCTTCTACTTCTTCATTTTCGGATTCTTCTTCTTCTGCTTTACGTTCTTGTGCCGCCGCTGCCTTAAGTTCCTGGGCTGCTTCTTTCTTCTGTTGTTTTCTTAATCGTTTCTCCTCCATTCTTGCAAATTTAGCCCGACGTCTTTCGGCTTCGGCGGAGGAGGTGTAGTCAAGAGAAATATCGTAATCACCGGTAGCCTTCTGGTCTTCATCTGGATCTGTGATGGTTTCGCTCTTTCTCTTCGAGCCTCGCTTTAGAACAAATGGTTCGTCTTTTACTTTACTAGGTGTGGGTGTTGCGACAGGAGTTTGTGCTTCGGGCATGACCATACGGGATCGATCGGTAAGAGGTGTACTCGTTTCGGCGAAAACTTCGTCTGATAATTGGGGTAAGGGTATTGCGAGTCTCATACTATCTTGATCCGGAGTTGTGGTTGAGGGCTCCCATATGCTGCTTCCAAACGCACCTCCCCAGAAAGAGGATGTCTCTGTTGTAAGTTCGGTTTTGTCTACCGGTGTAACGTCAAGTTTAGATAGCCTTTGCGATGTAGATTTCGCTCCAGTGTTGGATTTTGGGGTTGCGGCAGAATCCGGTGATTTTCTGAGGACGTCTATCGATTTTGGACCATCTTTTCCGTTTTCCTTTGCCGCCTTGATAACTTCCAAGAGTTCCCCAGTACGCGATTTCACGCTGTGAGATATTGGTCGAATGATACTGAGTAAGGCTATCATATCCATGGGCATAAATTTGGCTAGATTGACAACAACTGCATTCGACATGACGAAATTAATGCTGTCATCATCCTTTCTTGCTATCTGATCTCTCCAGGCGTGTACAGCTTTGAATACTGAGAATTGCTCACTACTCAACAGAGCAGGCGTTTTGTAGATTAGTGAAAACCATCCTCCAGGCCCTTTCCCAGATTCCGCATTGTATAGCTGTCGCTCATATCGAAGTAACGAAGTCTCTTTAGACTTTTGTAAGACTACATTCATCGAAGTTGCTACGGCTTCCTCTGCATCAGGCGTTTCAACATCAGGTGCGTCAAGTAATTCGTTTCTTAGGTTGTCAAAAATGTAAAGAAGGAAATGTGTGTCAGCTCTAGCGTAGAAGAACATTTCTTCGGGAAGTGGCCTAGAGAATAGTTAGTTTAATGATGAAAAAAATTCATAACATGAGCTTACCTAATTCGCCAATCTGCTAGTTGGTATTTCTTGTCGGCGTCGAAATCAATGTACTTCTTTAATAAGAAGGCTAAGCTTCCCCCAGCAAATCCTAACCTTCTGCATGCATAATGTGTATCGAACAAGCCGACTACATATAGGCCGAGATCGCGTTGGAGCCAAACGATATCCATATAAGCACCATGAAAAACCTACCTCGTTAGCTAATATTGATAAATCTTAAGAAGTATACAACATACCTTGATTATATTTGGATCAGCGAAAACTTCATTCAGTACTTGCAGCTGTTGTCTCCATGGCTTGAGAGTATCGACAATCCAATCCTTTTCGCGAGTACTGATTTGCATTAAAGACACGAGACCAACATATGAACGAGTATCATGATGTTCCAAGTCGACCGCGATTTCTTTGGCGCCTTTGAGCTCTTCCAACATCTCCAAAACACCTTCGTAGGTATCAACAAATTTCGCAGACGTGCTTTCAACGGGTAGATATTTTATTGGTTCCGCCTTCTCGTACATAGCGCTCGGGTATTGTAATTGTAAGATTTCCGTTTCATAAGGATGTTTGTACCTGAACTGCTTGTTAGTAAATCTTATAGTGGAACCCATTTCCTGAAGCCTTCTTAGTTTTTCCCGTTTTGCTTTGGAGCGACTGGCCCTGTCAGACTTGCTTAAGTCTTCCATCTTATTTCCTTCGCGCGGGGAATCCGGGAGTAATGCGAGGGGAATAAAATTAAAGTAGTCATACTGTTTTTGATCGTATTCGTTTGTAAATATTCCAAGACTATCCTCTAATGGCACTTTCGCATGCGGTTTGGTCTTAAGAAGAGGCAGCCATGGCGAAGTGTCCTCATTGTCAGGTTTGACCTCGAATGCGAGTTGTGGCTTCACAAGGTTTTGTGTACGGAGCGAGTTGTCGAGAGGTCGTTTCTGGGATTTCATTGTCGCAGAAGTCTGGCAGATATCAGTATTCAATTCGATAGCTTATGCGATTCAACAATCACCTCTTCCACTTGTTTCCTTTTGATAATTCCAGTATATTCGTCGAGGCAAGTATCCGTTTTTTCAAGTAAGGAATCCACAACATCCACAACACCGCGCCAATTGTTATCAACGTCGTCGACATCTTCTAAAATTGGCACCTGGATACCTGAGACGGAAGCTGCAGACTTGAGCAACTGATTGGCAAGTGCGAGCAAGCGCGCATTCTGTTCGTCGAGAGCACTTCCCACTTCAGGATTTAATGATCGATGAAAGCCGAGATCTTCTGATGCTATATAACCGGCAGTTTTGACTGTTGTTACGAGAGCAGCTTGAACTTCATCTTGTAAGGACTTGAAATCCTGTGTATCTTCTGCCATAATTGACAAAATTAATTTGTTGTTGCGTCGAACAAGATTGAGATAGATTCTGCGATTTGATTTGGTCAAAAAATATTCAAAAGTTCAACTTTCCTACCCTTGTCATTATTTCAAACGGTGGGTGGAACTACCTACACTAGCGTATGTTTCTAATAAACCTTGTCGCAGGTTGGGTCCTCCGCATTTTCATCAGTTTCATTTCAGTTCAGCCGGAATTCTAAATTCTTTCACTTGCTCACGACTTCACGACTTCACATGACAAAGGATTTCACCTATCGCCACACGAGTCTGGTAGTAACAAGGCACAACCCAACCTAATACAAAAATATAACTTCCTATCATACAATCTTACACCAGAATCTTCTCATAATGTCGGCTTCACTTGCACCTGAATGCAATGAAGTCAAGGAGTATGTAATGTCTACTATATTCTCTTCGTTTCTGAATCAGTTTTTAATATGCTGAACGCTTTCAAAGACGATATGATTCGTGCTTCTTGAAATGGTACAGCGAAAGTAAGTAAGGTTCGTTATTGGAAGTATCGACATGAACTAACAAGATCATTAGAATACCTTCGAGGTAAAGGTACAACTGACGAGTGTGAATCTTTATTTAAAGATTACCGGAAATGCTTAACAGTAAGTTTGGAAAATCCTTCGGTAGTTCTGAATGATTCCCAATCTAACTGATATAGGGTGCTTTGAAAGAGCGTGGCATTGACAAAATGCTGGAAGAAGCACGAGAGGATCATAAGGAACATGATGCCGTGAATCTGCGACGGCCTTGTGAGTTAATCGCATTCTTTTCCCGGGGAGAGGGTATGATAGCTAATTGTTGAGCAGAATGAAATGCATGCACAATATCAGACTGTACAAACAATACTACTACTTAGGTATGCATGGGAAAGGCGTTAGCATGGTCTTGTAGGTTAAGATTCTACTGTTATTGGGGACTCAAAACTATCTCAACTTTGTATGATATTCAAAAAACAGTGACATTCTATACTCATAAGCAATACAACGACACAGCATGGAGGCCTTTGATAGCCACCAAAGTTTAGATGGAGATTCCATTCAAGGAACATAACTTAGGTATCGAAAGTGCACATTCTCTACATCTATTCATTTCATCAATATAGTACAGCATCAATCATATGTATGGTGTATCAAATCATATAGCTCAAACATCTTCATCTCCATCTCCCCTCCCCTCCTCTCCATCTTCATCCCTTTCCCATCAAATGTTCACCAACTTCCAAACTTCATACTAGCACGTGATCATAATTCTTAGCTTACAAAGCTTAATTTCATCTACCCCTGCAAAAGAACAAATTGCTTTCAGCCTTTCTCTGGTGATTGCTCCAGACAAGTTTGAATTCCTGTATCGGGATTGGTTTGTATGAAGGGAGATCCAGAAAAAAGAATTCCACCCACAATCTGGACCCTGACTTTAAACAAATATGTGGGATTCGAGAACCTCATACTTGTGAAAACACCTTTATATATTCTCATCCTACCTAGGCACTACCCGTATTATCCATTCTCTCTTATCTCTCTCCCCCTCTACCCTCACTCCTCCAACCATCAACTTCTCCGCCGAGTACCGTAAGCTGCAGAAGCCAGTAAACCCGTCTCGAATTTCCTACAGCAAAATATTACAGTGATGCGCCAGCAATAGGAAACAATTCATGCACCCCTTCTCAATCCTCACACTTGCGATTTTCGTAGCCGGCTACATCACTGCGAGGTGGGACCTGGTTACTAGACTTTATGAGCTTGCCATATTCGCATGGGATCACGGAGTAGTGGTTAGCTATGATTTCCCCTGAATCAACTCGATACATGTCACTAATATCATTTGGCGCATAGGCACGAACTTTGAAAGGATTCGCGATTCTTTCCCTCTTCTTCTTTTTATTCATTATACCAGCAGAAAGGCTCGCGTCGAGGGAGACGACACTAGTAAAGAAGCATTACATCTACAATCATGAGCCTAGCTAACAACACAATAGCATCCGCGATCTGGCAGCGTCGGCATATCTGCACGAGAACAATTGCGACGTCGGGGTTCTTTTTGAAGGAAGAGAGTTTATGATAATTGAGCATTTGTCATGCCCGATCATGATGGATTGATGAGGATCTTCTGGCCGAGGGATATCCCAAGGAGCGATTCACCTGGAGTAATAGTTGGCTGGAGAAATTCTGGCCTTGATATTTTTGTGGTTGCGATATTGGAGGATGTTGACGTGAGCAGCAATACGGCTATATGAAATTGGAACCGACTGACGTAATTGCAGGCGCGCAATGTAGAGAATGCATTGAAGGTCGGAACTCTGTTCCGAAATGCCAGTCATCCCATCGAGCGAATATATGAGTTATGTGGACAGTCATCACTACAGGTATTGGGCGTGACAAATTCACCCAAAGCAGATGTCGATACTCTTCAAATTCGCGCAATTACAGGGTCGGCATACAAATTACCTCAGATATCTTGTGCTCGAGCATCAACGAATCAAATAGTCGTGTTTGATAGACCTCAGCCTAATAGGATGCAATACATATCTCTAAAGCCAATATCATTGGCATTGGATGATAAGGCTGAAATGACATTTCATGCACCAGGCAGTGTTGATGCGGAGGAAGAGCGAGAAGAAATAAGACAGAGGAAAAGGACTCAGGAACTAGTCGAAAAGTTGAAGTACCATTCTGTCGTTAAACATCCGCCATCACAAAAAGAACTCGCCTTGCCAAGAATAGTCAATCAAATCAATTGTGCTTGGGAGGTCCATCAATTATTGCAGAAAAACATTTCGCTAGTTGGAGCTCGGTCAAGGAGAAGTCTGAGCGTGTCGGAAAGGGTAGTGGAGTCAGCAACCACGATGCGTGATTTCGTTCTTTTGACAATATGGCAGCTCATCACTCTCTACATATATCCTATCATCAGACGTGGATTTGTTGTTGGTCTCGTTTGTCATAGATTTGCTGCTGAGGCTTTACTATTGATTCTAGAGTGGAGAGCTAAGCCAGATTATGCAGCCTTGAAAGATATCTCCGCAACTGCACAGCAAGTGGAGATACGCTTACAACAATTCTGCTATTGGCCTATGCAATATGTCACACTTCGAAGAAGTAAAAGAGACTGGGGTAGTGTGACAACAAGTCATCCGGACTACATAAGGTTTTACAATAGCCTTTGGCTAGTTGCTAATGATGTGATCATTGGAATTGCACTGGGGTCTTATATTATTGACAATTCCGCCTGGGTCGCAGAGACTATCAGTGATATCCTAAGCACTTATTCTATAGCTGCTCTGCAAAGGACGATAAATTGGCTGATGGATTGGCCAGCTGGCTTGAAACTCAATACTGAACTGGCTGCTTTCCTTGGTGATTTGTTCTTATGGGTCATCGAACATTGGTCAAGTATGTTTATCGTCCTCCCCAACAAATTATGCATCAACTAACTTTCACAGGCTGTATTGAAGCTTTGCATCCAGTATTGCCTCATGTTATATGGGTTGTTGGGTTTTCCAGTTTTGCTGGAGCCAGCATGCCAATCGCCCTTTTCTCTGATCTACTCACAATCCTGACACTTCACATCTACTCGTTTTACATGGCTTCTGCACGTATATTCAATTGGCAGTATACGATCCTCCTGTCTTTGTTTCAACTGTTTCGGGGCAAGAAGCATAACGTTCTTCGAAAACGTATCGATTCTTGCGATTATGATCTCGATCAACTATTGCTAGGCACGATTTTATTCACACTACTCTTCTTTCTCTTGCCTACAGTAGTTGTATTCTACTTGGCATTTGCATGTGCACGAATGGCTATCATCTCATTAAAAGCTATTTTAGATGCGTTACTTGCATGCTTGAATCATTTCCCCCTTTTTGCATTGATGTTACGACTTAAAGATTCGCAACGATTGCCAGGTATGTTCTCGCATAAAGTTTCCAGACTACATCACACTAACATACAAAGGTGGCATACGATTTGAACTTCGAGATACCCAACAACTAGCGAGCCAAATACCCAACACTCCATCTCCTCCACCAACATCCTATATATATCTCAAGGTATGTTGGTTCTCTTCCTACTCATTTATTTTCACGTTACTAACAGAAATCTACAGTCCGTCCCCCTCACTTTCCGCGCCATGTTCCACCAATATTTCCAACTCGGCCATCGTATCCGTAAACATTACGCTTCACCTCGAGTCCTGCTCTGTCTCGCAACCGGCAAATTCGTTCCGCCCATCCATCGCAAAAATCTTTATTCGCTTCAGTACAGCATGTTACCTGCTCGTCGAGCGGGTATTATGGATATGTGGTATGCATTAACGACTAATTCTGATGAGGGAAAGGATAGGAGAAGAGGCAGTGCTGGGTGGTTAAATGGTGGCGTGGCCAGTTTGGCCAAGGGGAATGGAAATTTGAGGAGAGGGAATGGGTATATGGCTAGAAGGGGTGCGCATTAGAGATTATGTGGAATGCATGTGGATGTGGATGAGTGATTGACGGGCTCTTTTGTATATATGATTGGTTTTCTATAGGCCAAAATGAGATGAGATGAGACGAGACGAACAAAAAGGAGCGTTGGAGAGGTTGGAGGTGATAGATTTTGTATGTATGTACTGTATATAGATACGGATTACTTAATGATAATATTTCCAGAACCATCGGGTTTTAGATCTCATATGTTCACAATCGAAATAAGTAGATGGTTTTGTGTATGTTTGTGTGAAGCAAATTATAAATTTCTTTCTCTCATTGAATTTCGTGGCATTCATCAATTATTGACAGAGTCCCATATTATTATCCCGTTTCTGCAGTGTTTCGTCCTTTCGTGTCCTGTCAAACCATTTTCCTTTCCACCAAATGCATCCGCAACTTGTTTATAATACAAATCTCGTCTTCATCCTCATCCTCATCCTCTACAACTTTCCTTTCACCTCTCCCTTCAACTCAGCCGCCTTTCCCTTCGCGGCGCCCTTCAACTCCGCTGCCTTTCCTTTCGCCTGACCCGCCAACTCGGACGCTTTTCCAGAAGCTTCCGACGCGGTTCCAGAGGCAGTACCGGTTGCCGAGGAGCTGGCGCCTTGGGCTTCGGAGGCGGCGTTGGAGGCGGCGGTTTTGGCTTCCGAGGCGGAGAGGCCGGCGGCGGCTTTGGCTTTTTGGGTTGCGGTTTCTGGGTTTGGGGGGAGGGGGTTAGTTTGGGGTTTGGGAAAGAAGGAACGGGGATGGGGATGGGGGGAGAGGAGGAAGAGGGGAGAAGGGAAATGGCAAGGAGAGAGAAGACATACGACCAACTTCAATACCGTCTACGATCTTGCTCGCGACGGCTTTATCGACTTTGTGAACAGTTTCTTTGACGGCTTCGGTGGCGGATTTGCGAGAGATGAGGGTGGAGGAGAAGGGACGGGTGGCTTGGATGCGGAGTTGGGGGGTGAAGAGAGGGGATTGGCGGGTGAGGGTGCGGGTTATGGACTGCATTTTGATAGATGGGGTGTGTGATAAATTCGTCGTTGTTGTGTATTGGGATTGTGGATTTGGTAGAGAGATTGTTTATTTATTTATTTATCTGTCTGTTTGTTTGTTTGTTTGTTTGTCTGTTTGTACAAAAAGTATAAATGGAGATAGGTAGATAGATAGATACAAGAGGTAAGGAATCAATATATAAATACCAATATCAACGTAGGTAGGTAGGTAGGTAGCTCCAAACAAACAAGCAAGCAAGCAAGCTATTGGAAAGGTAGGAAGGAGCTTCCTTTCCTTCCGTCACAATGACGTCACTTTTGTTCCACCGCATCGTATATCGTTTGAGCTCTGCTTCGAGCTACTAGCTACCTAGGGTGAATTACCCCTCTTTTCATCGATATTGAGAGATGGATGGATGCTAGGTACTAGGTACTAGGTAGGTAGACTTCGATACCTAAGTGCCATTACCTCATTCTTGATTTGAGATTTGAGATTCGAGATTCGAGATTCGAGATGAGATCTGATGTGGAATTCATGAATGCGGACCTTTTACCTAGGTAGCTTAACTAGGTATCTAGTACAGAGAGTTCTGTATTGAATAATTACGTGGTGAATTAAAATGAATTAAAATGAAATAAACCCAAGCACCTACTTACCAGTAGGTAGTTACGTAGATGTCATTTTATATACCTATATACCTATATACCTATATACCTATATACCTATATACCTATCTAGTAAATATCCATCTACAAGCAAACAAGTACATTATACGAGTAAAGTATTTAAGTAATAAGTAAGTGATAATACCTACCATCTATCTACCCAGCATCAGGATTCGAAAATCAAGCCATCAATTATTCATGGGAATCTCCGATTATGCTATTTGCGTTCCATATCCATATAGGTACATACAGAATCCGATGTTCAAATACTAGGTCTTTGTATTAGTAAGAAAGAAAGAAAGAGGATACCTAGGTAGCTAGCTTAGAAGATATCGTAAGTAAATAAGAAAAAAAAATCAAAAAGATTTCATAAATAAATTCCCATCCATAAACAACATCAAGAATTCTTCAAATTTGCAAACCAAAAATCCACTCCCTTCATCCCGCCTCTCCGTTACAACCCTCCCTCTCCTCCCTCTCCTCCCTCTCCTCCCTCTCCTCCCTCCCAACCCCCAAAAAACAATAAAAACTAATGAACAGAGGGGGATTCGAACCCCCGCGGGCTGAGCCCATGAGAATGCTAATTGATTTCACACCAATTAAGCTAGGTAGCTTGAGTCACACGCCATAACCACTCGGCCATCTGTCCTATGAAACCATGATTCATGATTCGTTGGAGATGCAGGTTTTGTTTGCGTATATATTATTAGACACGACAAAGTGGAGAGGAAGAATAAGAGGATGAAGAATTTTTCTGAGTCTGTACCATAGTGGGGAAGAGTTGTGTGATTGGGTGGACAATATGATGTGATGTGGTGCACGAAATGATTGATACGAGACTAGTCAGTAGGTATTGTTGAAGTGACAAAATTAGACGTTCAAAGGTTTTTAATTTTATAGTCCTTGACTTATTCTGTTTTATTTAGATTAATGTAAATGTACAAATTGTATCGGGTAAATACTAAAAGCTGATAAATGGATACCCCGGTATCGAAATCCAGACTGTAAGATAATATACTCCCCCTAATGTACAACGCTGATGATATACGCCAAAAATGTGTGTGCACACATGATTTGAACACCAAACGCCCAACTTATTCCCTATAAACATACAACCATCTTTCCCTCTCAATGCCCCATTCACCCTCCTCATCTCAACCCAGAACCATAAATCCCACACCTCCGATTACACCGGTTATCATAAGCGCCGTTAAGATTCCTGCTCCGGCTCTATCTCCACTGGTGACTGGTGTTTCGACTGTCCCATCACTCTTGGAACTACTTCCACTTCCACCTGCTACATTTCCTGCACTTGTTCCGCCCGTATTGTTTGTGACGAGATCGGCTGCTTGCCCAATAAGTGTTGCTTGAATGATACTCAAAGCGCTCATTTGTTCTCCGACTCCATATTTTCCATCGTAAGTACTTCCTGCAGTCCAATGTTCTCCACATGCTCTTCCGCTAGCTCCTCCAGCGCATTGTTCTGCTGCCGCTTGAGCAGAAGCGTTAATGTAAGTCATGATTGTTGGTTCGGTAAATGGAGCGATTTTGGTGGTTCCCGCCATCCAACGAGAAAGATGAGCTTTGAATGATTGTTCATCGGTGTCGCAACCGACTGTGGTAGTTTCACATGCTGCTTCATACATAACATTATCTTTAAAGAATACACTACTAGCATTCAAAAGTCCTGCTGTTCGATTTTCCCAAAGGGATGATCCGTTGGTCTGTGAGGAATGTGTTAGTAGAATTATATGGCTTGTGCGGGAGGTATTTAGAGAGAAAAAGGGGGACGAACGTAATTGTACATCATGGCAGCTCCGAAAAGATAGATACCAGCGTTGTATGTCCATTGTATATGATCGAGAGAGCTGCAGTTTGTTGTATCGGATGTACCATCATATACCTCCCAACCATCACCGATCAATCCAACAGATTGTTCCCACGTGAAGATCTTTTCGGCCCAATCGGCATATGATGAATTTCCAGTATACCTCGCCAACCTAGCTCCTAAATTGAAGAAACACCCGTTCGCAATACTATTCTTATAGTTGTATCCGGAGTTGAATGTAAAGATTTGCCATCTCAAACCACCTCCACAAGTTGATTCATCCCATCTAGCTGCCATATCGTTGAAAACTGCTTGCGCCATTGCTAACCAGCCAGGTGTTCCACTATCCGGATTGTCAAAATTAGCCTCTGCAGCTGTCATAGCAGCCATTCCCCAAAATCCTTGATCATCATTTCCTTCTGTCTTTGTCTGATTGGTAGGCATGAAATCGTAATCGCTGCCAGCTTGATGTAGGAGAGCTTCTTTTACTTCGGCGTTGTAGGTAGTATCCCCAGTATAATACCAATAGTCGACCATTATACCAAACATAGCTCCTGCCTCCCACCAATAATAGGGGTCAGGTAAGTTACCAGCGACATCTCCGGTATTATTTCCTGTGTAGTATTTCATCATATCGTAGGCGACATCGGATGCGGCGGTTTTGATGCTTTCTGATCATAGTTATTCAATCAGTATGTTGCTCTTCACTCAACAGGAAACAACATAGAATGACAACATACCATCAGAGCTCAAATCAAGAGTAATTGCACTAACCAAACTACTACATGCTGAGCAAATAGCAGCAGTATATGCCAAGACTTTTCCTCCACTGACCCTCATCTTGCTCCTCTTCCGTGATTCAAACTAGAGTATAGATACTGTATAGAACACTTCTTCGCCAATCACAATTGCAAAACGGGAGGATCCGATCAATTCCAGATTTGAAAACGATTCGGCCAAACGAGAGTATAAGATAAAATATGCCGGATCGCTGATGTATGAGAAGAAAAGCGTACTATCTTACCATCAAGTCGAAAAGAAACGCTGACTATTCTCTGGAATTTCAAAGCGAGGAGAGACGTACTTCCTACCACACTTACCTCTAGTTCCATAACAACAAAACTCCTGGTCCACTGTTCTGTTTTTGACATACGGCCCACGGCAAGTCTTCTTTAGTTTCTTCCTTTTAATAGACCTTGCGCGTCAGCCACATCCCAGTGGATTTTGAAACACTATTTTCAGAATCTTGTAGACCCACCAGCTTTTTTCCCTGAGAGAGAAACTAAAGACTCAGAGAGATTTGGGTACTATGGGCTGAAAGGTAATGCCTGGTTCATAACAAAATGAATAATGGATACGCATTGGCTTACGCGGTGGATGCGTCATCCTTGTTTGGTTCACGTTTAATTGATTCTCTAGTGGCCCTCATCTCCTAGAGACATCCAAAGTTTCCTGATATCATACCGTCGTGAATTGAGTATCAAATCTTTCAAACGTGCCACTTTTGATCTTGATACAAGACTGCCAAAAAGCAACAACGAACGATGATAGAAGCCAAGCCATAATTGTCTTGGATTGCGATGCTTAGTATGGTCCAAGTCAAGAGAGTAATCCTCCGTTCTTTCTTGATGAAGCTTGAAAAAAGCTTGTCTCCACCAAGTACCGACAAGGAGCCGTTAATGGCGGAGATTGGCGGCAAGGATAATTATATGGGAAATAGCTGGAGATACGAGATTGTGTGGCTAATCACGTGGAAGCGAACAAAAAGGGGCTCAGGTGGTCCAGAACATTGAACTCATTTGCGGGTGAAAAGACCTCTAGAGTTGATACACTCGTTCATGTTTGGTCATGTACTACATTCACATAAGATGAAGTATTTTGAACTTCAAACTTACGATGTACACCAAGAACAACGTTGAATTTTCGAAATCACCTTGACGATTTTGTCTTGGTGATCTTCCCATGACCCCACAACAACTGTGTCATGATTTTCATGCAACCGCTCATGTGACCAGACTTTGTCTTCCGTTGGATTCGATTATCATTTGATAACCAAAGTTCTATGCAATGATACGAAGTATCATTTGCACATCGACAATGTCAGATTCTTTGATAAAATACGTGGTGATATTACATACGGTGATAACATCGCGAATAGTCAGGTGCTCATGACAAAATGTAGGAAGATTTTTGATACGATGTTGCCAATGCTTGGTAGGACAGTATGTAAATAACATACAAGAATGTGGTCTTTCTTCAATGGACAGAGCAGAGTTGCTCTTTGGTCAATTTTCCCTATCAGTCAATCACCTGACAAACAATCGCTATATCGACGGATGTTGGGTGTGTACACTTGGGAGTTACAATTGTGGTTGTGGAAGCTACGATGGCGCAATCATGCAAAGCCAAGAAAGGTACCTTGCTGGTTAAATGGTCAAACCGTAAACAAAGTCCATTATATTATGATTCACAATATTTTTGGGACGTTCACGCTCAGCAACCTTGTTGGGTTCAATATCATCAAGGTACTTATTATATCTTTACAAAGTGTACAGATTTATCTTCACTGCTCCCACTGTACTCTCTTTGGTTTATGATCTCTCAAACATACAACGCATTCCAGCAGCCACTCAACTTTTCTCTACATCTTTCAAATCAGCAATCATGAAGGTTGCTGGCCCGCAAACAAAAAGAGAAATGGATGTTGGAAAACAGTCTCTCAAAAATATCCTTGATCTTCAGATGGCTGACAAACTAGACATGGTTTCCAAGTGGCCAAGTCAATGGTTTGATATCATATTGAGAAAACATCACAACCATAAGGATTACAATGGTGTAATAGAGCTTTTTCATGAATTGGATCTATGGGAGCTTAGATCATTTTTATCGAAAGGCTTGACTTGCAGAAACCTCTCGGAATATCGTAATATTCGGTATCCACAAATCGAGTCGAGTCCGAAGACACAACTTGGCGACCGCACTTTTCCTTCCTTCAAGAAACTACCGGCCGAGCTTCGACTAGATATATGGGAATACGCATTCGCAGAAGATCTCCTCCCAAAGGTCCATCATCTGAATAATACAGACCGCAATACTGGAAAGATCACCGACTCAATCACATCACATCTCTCGTTCTCAAATATCGTACAAGTCTGCAAGGAATCCCGACAATGGTATCTTTCGCGAACACAAAATACCTGGGCGTTCGGGACATATGTCAACTTCCATGCCGACATTTTGTACTTGACCAAGCAAATTGAGGCATCCAAAATTCTTTACGAGGCTCTTCTCTCTTGTCCTCAAATGAAAAAGGTTCAAAATTTGGCATTGCGTCGAACGTTTCTTACCGATAACCCTCAAAATGCTCTCACTCAGGTCGAAGCATCCGAATATATTCGAGAAAAGATTCCCTCTTTGAAAAACATATACGTCGTCATAAATGAGATCCGAGACTCAACAATCATCGACCGAGACAATGACATCAAGTTTCAACATCTCTCGGCAAGACAAAAGAGAAAATGGGTAGACATCGGATATGCTAGGACATGGTTGAAATGGGTGAATAAGGTTATGATCGATAGGGGTTACAATAGTGTGAATCATCATTTTGTGATGGTTGGTACTCAATGTACAGATGTATTGTCCTCGGATTATGGAGAGGTGACCTTCGAAAGGAAGATTCGTGATGGAAGTCTTGAGCTATTTTGATTAGTGGTCTGGATGTCTGTCATTTGTCTTTTGAATGCATGAGTACGTTTACGATGCTTTGGGCGGAGTTAAGGCTGGAAGCATTGCGGGGTTGGGTTGGGTTGGGTTGGGTTGGGTTGGGTTGGGTTTATGAGCCTGAGGTCATGGTTTCGCTGCTTGCTTATGAACGTTATGAGGTGTATTGCTGGATATTCCATAGTATTGAGGAATTGGATGCAAATTATGAAATATGACAGAGGTGATACTAAAGAGAGGTCTGGAAATGGAAGGTTAAGCAAGTCAACCGGATAAGCATAGTCTGGAGCAGTGTGTTCATGGCTGGCTCATGGGGTAACTCGTCGAAGGATATTATACTGGAACGATGCATGAGATTTCAGCATGAGCGGTCTCTCATATGTATAAATGAGTTTAATTACACTTTTTGAAACACCTTCATTGCCTTTCTACGTGTTGTATACATTGGAGTGATAAAAACACCAGTGATACATCAATTGGACCATCAATTTTCCTCATCATACTTTGTACAATTCATACACAATCATCGATTGTAAACTTGATAAATCCTCGCGATAGCTGACATCAAAAAACACCGTATTATCAGCAACAAGAAAAGACGTGGTATCCTCATTTCATGAAGAAAGATGTAAGAATGATTATAAATGAGTTTATACATTTATCGTTCAACTCCAACTAAGTCTACATACAGATAGATCGTCACCAAACGAGAGATATACCGTAGATTGAATATACACATATAGATATAGATAAGAAAGAGTACTATATCAAATTATAGAGCTTTTCAATAAGCTGAACATTCGAAATTCAACATGTACACATATATACCCAATCCAGTATGTTTTCAAAGAAGTTGTAGAAGCAGGGCTACTCACGAAATCGAGCGTATCAATTGCATGTGGAGTAACTTCGGCATCTCAAACCAAAATACCCGACGTTACACACATAACCCGAAAAACCATCAAATTTCCAAAAACAGAAGAACAAACGACCACACCTACCTCAATTCCAGATTAGAAGGAGCAAAAAAACAAAAGTATTTGATTGAGGTTGGCCTCAATTCGCAGAATGCGGCTTCTGTGGATCGAACACAGTGCCTCCAGATTAACGAACCGAAGTGTACTTCAGTCTGGCGCTCTCCCAAGTGAGCTAAAGCCGCTTGAGTGTGTTTGTTTGTTGAAAACTGTCAAATTATTTCACTATATATTCTAGCAACAACAAAAATGTGTTCATGTGGGTGAAAAAACACGGGATCCGGAATCTGGGATCGATTATGGATTAAATCAGCGTCGTATTTGATTCTGTTTCTGAAATCACTGTTTGAGAATCAGATTATAAGAAGTGAGACTATTCAAATATGAGTTTTGCGAATAGTCTGCCTATATATGCCACTATTATTTAAAATCAGTATCAAATTTCGAAGTTAAGATTAAGATGGAGAGACCGTTTCGAAGGGTGGTGGTTCATATTCTTGTAGGTTACGGAGAGCAATTCGAATCTCGAAGCCAAGTGAAAGGTTTTCAAGCTCCTCCATTTCACTTCAATCTTTCTCATGCATTAAATAATGTTATTTCAATAAAACTTTAGTACTCGAATATATTGAATTGTTAGCTTCCAAGTGATATCATTTTATTGAGTTCTGAATGAGAACAGTGATTTTATCAAATATTCAAATTTAAACCTATAGAACTCCTTCATTCGAGATTGATAAGCGAACAGCTTCATTTCCTTGAAATTTTGAATTAACATTCGAGTTATAATCCGGTCGTCAAACGTAATACCCTCAATCATTAATAAGGTGTTCTTCAGATTAGCTTTTTTGGATGATTTATGATTTCAGTATCAAATCGAAATCTATACACCTGCTCAGATTTTGCTCATCAGGCTAGCCAATTCATGGGCTAACAGGCAGATCAGGATTTTGTATGAGGTAGTCGTCAAACGGGCCCCATGGCACTCAAATAGAATCATACATTGAAAACACTTATGCCTCAATATCTTTTAATTAAATCAATTAATATCGAACAACATTGCAAATAAAATCCATGACTGGCCGGAAGCTTTTAAAACCATTCATCTCGTCTTTGATTTCAACAAATGATTGTTTGATTTGATATTAAATATTCAAAAGAGTGTGTATTTTTTTGATGTCTCGTTTTTTTCCGTCTTACTAAAGGATGCAAGTTGAGCTTTTACAACAGTAAAATAAAAGGTCGGATTTGCATGTTTTATTATCATTGATCAATCGAAATCACGAATCAGGTACAGATAATATCATCTGATTGAAACTATCAAACAAAAGTTCATTGTTAATTTATTTCAGCTTTACAAAAAGTAATGGCTGTGACGACTTTTCGAAGGTATTTACCTAGTAAATCCAGTCATTTATTTCGCTTACGTAAAGGAGGAAGTTTCATGTAAAGTTCAGCGATTGGTGGATTATCAGATTACAATATATTTGATAATTATGGCAAGATGAATTCTATACCTTTGGATTCTATTTGACTATTTGGAAACTAGACTATGAATTTTCTCTCCTTCCACCTTTCATTTAGTCCCTTTCGACCACTTATTCACGATATGTCAACCGACATTGCCGGCATCCCATTATGCACTACAGTCAACACGCGATGAGGGAAGTGATGCAAATCGGTATAACTGTGTAACGAACTCAAATTCTATCGAAAGTTCGCCTTTCCTATAACACATCTCTCTCTGTGGAATGAATTCTTAAATCGAAGGCATGGATGGTTTGTAATTTTCTGGTGTTTGCAAAATGACGAGCCTATGGCTGACGACTTTTGAAGGCTTGAGAGAAACGGTTTAGGTATGACTAGAGGTTTCATTAGCCCACCGTTGCACCGATTTGAGGTGAAACCTCAAGATTCGACAAAATAACTACTGCATGTCAAAAGGGTTTGCACCTGCAGAAGTGTTAATTACTGATCCGCAGGCTCATACCCCTCTTCCCAATATTGAACTTTTCATTACTTTGTCACCGATCATCATTAAGTTCAAGATATGACCAGGCTATACGGTTTGATATGACATTTTCAATAAAGCATGTCAAGCGACAGCATCTGACTTGGGAATCAGATTAGATTGAGTGTATTGATAATGCGACCAACCCATCGTGTGCTTGGCTGCATCTTCAACCTCTACTCAGTTGGCCAGCATATTCACCCACCAAATAATTCATGCATGCAGAAAATATCGCATGTTAAATTATGTGTTATAATGACAGAATAGGCCATGGAGAGAGTATCCCTTGCTCCTTGACACTCCCAATTATTCTATCACTGTCACTGCATCTTGCCATGTTATTCCCTCAATAGAACCGTTAGACCGTCTCTATTCACCAAATTTCTCCACCCCAAATCAAACTGCCAGAGGCAAGTGTACTCATTAAGGAAGCAAATGGGTAGCGGCGGACCTCTCGAGATTCGGTCCAACGTACTTCCCGAGGCTCGGCCCATGTACGAGCACTTCAGCGAGCTGACCTGGATATTGTATCCTACCGGATTTCGGTACCCTTTTAAAAATACTTCCTAATCCGACGATATCGGCCCTTGTGCTTTTATATTCTGTCCTTGGTTTTTCCACGTACCTTTATAACCATGGTATGGGAACGGAGGGGTCACAAGCGTGGCCGAGCACTCTTCGGATTATAATTATGAATTCCTCTCAGTTTTTAAGTACTGTAAATTTTTCATGTGCCATACTTCACATATATTCGTCTTCCTCATACCTCGTTCGGTTTTCTATATTCCCAAAGTTGGATTGACTCTTCCTTTTTGTGAATTAAGAGCCCTCCGTGGGTATTTCTCTTTGGATTTTTCACCTCCACTCTGCTTCTCCTCCCCGTCAGCATCGTCTTCTAGGGCACATACAGCTCACTTTCAGTTCCTATACTGAATCTCTCTGCCTACACAATAGTAACCTGACATCACCTCTTTGCAGTCGAAGAAACACACTCTCGTCAATCATCTGCTCACTCATTGACCCACCTTTCTCCACTATGCAGAAAAAGCATACGCCGCTATCTCGCCGACGATGAGCGACCGGTTCTATATCCTTACACGTGCGAGAACCCACGCACAGGCCGTACTCATCAGGTCACCGTCGCCGCGGCAAGATCTCGAATTGGCACACAGTTGGCCGAATCTGAGCAAAGTTTCGGGTGGGTGAACAATGATGGTTTACGATACAGAAGACGGTGGATTTTTAATGTTGATCGGAGCGTTGTTTGTCAGATGGCCAGAGCGCTCCATGTATATGATAACGTTTGGAAAAGATGCATGAAGAGGACGACTTATAGAGTGAGGGTGTGAGATCAACTCTGGTGGCTCTTTGGTATTTGTGTTACTTCAATTCTTGATTTCAAGTAATAATTTCTTCGCGGCGATTGAATACAAGGCTTAACTTTACCCGCATGTTCACTCCACATTTGATCGCCAACAGTATCTTCAATGCTATAAGGCTCCATAGAATAATCGGTAGACACAGATTTTGCCACTGATGGAAACCTGCCGATCTGTCTTTGTTACTTTACACTTGAATAAAGGTATGGCCCCTTGAATAGCACTTGCTCTATGGTCCACAGTTTTAAGGTTTGTCAATGGATGATATATTTTTCCACAAGTGATAACCTTTCGCTAATCTTGAGTCTGGCTAGCCCCACTTATGTAGTTATGAAGATTTTAGGAAAATATGAGAACAAATACGATAGATCTTATTAACATGATGAAAGCCGTCAATATTTCTTTAATCGTACAATGCAGTAAGTGTCTAATTTTTTGCAACTAAAAGATGCCCCGCCATATGCGCCTTGATGATCTGGGTATAAATAACAAAATAGAAGAATGAGGGATAGATTTTCCCCTTGCCTAACATGAAGATCCATCATGGGCCAATTCTCTGACAGATTCCGACTGGTTGTGTTTCGGCGACTTGGACAGCTCTACTTGATAAGTATAGTCTGCGCGAATTCCCTGCTGAGTATCTAGATCCGGGTTGTGATCGGAATCTCCATCGTGCAGTCTACTCCAATCTCCATCTCCGTGTGCGTGCACTGTAGCAAATGTCGTACCGGTGTCGGTAGGATTGCGAAAGACTCGACCTTTGGTATTGTGTCGGGCACTTATCGGTGCGCTACCAAAAGTGACGAGATCTTTTGGGCCATCTGCGTCAGATGTTGATTTCTTTGTGGCGCTGTTGCGCATGAAAAAGCGACCGACTGTAGGGATCGAGCTTGCTACACAACCAATGGCTGTTTCTATGTTGGATAGGAGAACGATAAAACCGGTATAGTCTAGAGATTTATAAGCATTATTGTCATTAAAGAACTCTGCTGGATAACTTACAGAGCAGATTATCAGTGGGAGTGCGATAGTGTTCAATGTACGGTGCTCGAATCATTGTCGATATTGAAGCACTAATTGAAAACCCCTGGTTAGTTACATCGAACGCTTAGGCAGTGAGGATTTGAGGAATTGTCTTACACAGAAGCGAATGACAAAAGCAAGCCCACTTGTATCTTCCTTCCCAGTGGCATCTGCGTCCTATACAGCATTACACCAGGGAATACTGCGCAAGCCAGATCTGTCACAATGGTACAAGCTGTCGAGGTATAGCTCAATGCGATCATTGTGCCCATGCCCGAACACGTCCCTTTTCCTTCTGTTACCAACGACGTATCCCAATTTGCAGCCACAGGTCTACATAGAAGCAGAATTCCAATAAACGTCACCAAGAATGTAACGATAGTGAGGCCGAGCAAGCTCAAGACGAAGAAGCGGTAAGTCTTGTGCGCGCTAGCTATGCGCAAGAGAGTCACACAAATCGAGCTTTTGATGATTGCCAGACCTAGAACATATAGCATCATCCATAGCATGAGGTACTTTGTGCCTTGTACCGAGAAGAAGGTATTTAGCCTGCCATTATGTGAACCAAGCCCAACTCGAGTACCATGACAAGCCAAACCGACATCGACAATGTAAACGATCTAGTAAAAGTTAATTTCAAGTTGAGAATTGAAGAGCTAGAGTGACTTTACCAGTCCTAGGACTATCAATTTATCGTCCCAGCCGAATGCATTGTCATTAATCCTGACATATGTCCTTAATGCTATAGTAATCGTCGAAATAAAAAGGCAGACAAGAGACACGGCGAAGATTGCCAAAGGGAATCCTTCGAGGGGGAGTATTGTAGCATCGACGTCAGCCATCTGCGCGTCGAGTTGATTCTTGTTCAAAGAGTAGCGCGATGTGTGTTTGTGAAGAATTGTAACATCATATCTGGAGACAACGACATGATGTATTTCTTCATACTCTATAGCCTGAAGGAGTCTATATTATAACAGGGATCCGATGCATAGACGTTTTCCCCAGGGTTCCGGAAACAAGATATTCTATAGACCATCCACTGATCTTCCGCGTTTGCTCCGAATCTGGGACTCGCTCACTTGCTTCCGAGAGGACGAGCCTTTTCGTGGGATTCCAGAGTTTTCGTTTTCTATCACGGCATGCAAACTTTGATTCCAGTCGGTAGTACTTAGTGAGAATGATCCCACTTTCCGCCCCTTTCATATTTAGCCCCACATTCTCCACTACAAAATGGGTGGAACGGATCGTGGTGGAGTGGAATGACTACACCTTGACCAATCCTGAATGTCCAAAAGCCTTTTAGAGAACTGCTCTAAGAAATTTGACAGCTTGTCCCACTTTTTAGCTCTTGTCGTAAAACAACCGACTTCCTCCTTAAGCTAGTGTAGGGTTCTTAGTGGACCGTTTTTGATGGATTAGTGCTGTGTTTTTCACGATATTACCGGGTATTGAAACTTTAATGTGAAGCCATAGAATACCCGTTTGTCACTAGTGAAGTTCAATAGAGGTATATTCTTGATATTATACATGAAATGAAGGTTCTAGACGATAAAAACACGGCACAATCGTTGATTCACTAATGAAAACCACGTACTCATTTCGATTAATAGCTTGGCAACTGCTCCGTTGCAGAATTTTGCGTGCAACTTAAATTTTCTGAGGAACTCTGCAAGTCTTACCGACTAGATAGTTTCAACTTTCCAGATGAAAAGGTTCTATTTTCGATAGAGTTTGTGGACGGATTGGTCAAGACCCCGGCTAATTGAGAAGTTGACAGGCTCTGTACGGTGTACTATCTGTACAATGCAAGATCATACGTAGTATATCAAATCCCAACGTTCACCACCAATGACCCCACAGTGAAGAGAGATTTTGCATAGGAGGCTTCGTGCTTCTCCTTCCCCGGGCGGAGACGATTCTCAGAATCTCACGAATGCAGCGTGGGATTGATTAAATTTGCCATTCATTGCCTCTTCAGTAATCTTTTGCTCCGCCGTCATGTGTCATGGGCATGTTACCCATAGTATGGGTCCCATACATTGGTATGCAAACGTGGGGGGTTGATAGTCTCTTCTTTCCTTCCTCCCGTCACTTGCTTTGGAAAATTAACGTTTTACGTTTTGCCCGCACTAGATTTTGAGTACCTAAGATTTTTTTTAGTGATCCAATATTCATAATGGCTTCCAACAACACCGGTCGAGTACATGAGGGCAAGGTTGCGATTGTAACAGGTTCAGCACGAAGTAAGGATTAATAAATGACTCGTTTCTCAGTGTCTTAGCTAACCTTGTTTCCAGGCATTGGTGCTGGTATTGCAAGAAACCTCGCATCTAAGGGTGCCAACGTCCTAATCAGCTATCTAACCGAAGGCTCTGACAGCTCTGCTGCTGAACTCGCAGAAGAGCTTACTAAGAATCATGGAGTTGTTGCCGTGCCATGTCGATCTGACATCTCTACACCTGAAGGCTGTGCAGCCATCATTAAGGCGTGTAACTCAAAGATGCCACCAAATGCCAAAACCAACAAGCTACAAATTGATATCCTGATCAACTGTGCTGCTATTATGATTGGCATTGGTCCTCTTGAATCAGTTACGCACGCGGATTTTATCAAGTCGTACGAGACCAACGTGCTAGCTCCTATCTTGCTTACAGGAGCATGCAAGCCATACCTACCAACAGATCGATCTGGAAGAATTGTGAACGTCTCCAGTATCGGACAAAAGGTCGGCACTCCATACTTGACGCTTTACAATGGAACGAAGGGTGCACTTGAGGCTATGACAAGAACTTGGTCAAGAGAATTGGCTGAGAATGCCACCGTCAACACTATCAACCCTGGTTCGGTACTTACAGATATGTTCCGTCAATGTAGCGACGATGTGCTTGCAGCTCAAGCACAATGGAGTCCGTTGATCCCACTGTCAGGTGTACGTGAGTGGGATACCGAAGAGGTCAAGGCAGTTGGTAAGAAATGGGGTGGTCGTCCAGCATACGTCGAAGAAATCGCTAGCGTTGTCGGTATGGTTTGTAGTCCAGAGAGTGCATGGATGACTGGCAGTGTTGTCAGCGCTAACGGTGGTCAATGTTTCAGCACTTAAATGTTTAGTATCGTGTAAATGTCAACGTTTATCTAGAATACAAATTGATTAGTGTTGGCTAAAACGTTAGCGTTGAGTAATTACCAAGTAACAGACAAGCTAGTCTTGAAATTTGACTGGATTTCATGTACCTGAGCTAACCGCTATCTTGACTGTGCAGGCGGTACTTTTAAGAGCACCTTGTCTGGTTTTATTTACTACACCTAGTTTTCAATCCTAATCTATAACGTCTATCCAAATGTTCTTTCTTTATTCTTTTGCCATGGCCTTTGTCCGACTTCCTACCTCTTCCTCTATGTATGCACCATCTGCAAAAGTTTCGTCTCCAAAGGAAAATTTCAAGCCGAATCATCTCCTTCTAAACCAGAATCTCACTCTTGCCTCTATCCTTGACGCCAGTGTCGATCCCACCTTTGGCCCCCAGCTCCCTCATAATCCACTCATATGCTGCCCACTGCGCTGCATTCACAATGAAAGCCCTCAAGCTACATACACCTAATCCCCTGAAAAACACGCCCATGCCTTCATTGCGATATGCTAGTCTTGCTATTTCTAAGGCTCCTCTGGGCTTATATGGTGGAGATCCGATAAGAAGGGGTGTGGCTTCTGAAACCAGTGTAGGAGAAAGAATTTGAGCTTGTAGTCTTGTTTTCACAACGTCAAGGGGAAAAACACTAGCCCATGTCACTACACCGGCTACGCCACCGCAGAGGAGAATTTTAATTGCTTCGTCCCTAGGACTGGTAGTAACAACCTCCATTCCTGGCGATGACGAGAGGACATAAGAAGAGTAGAGACGCGATGACAATTCATAGCTCCAAAAATAAAACCCATAACCTATACTATCTCTCAACGCGGTAACTACACCCCCGAAATACAGACCTCGAATCCCGGTCGTAGATACAATAGAGCGAGCTATCGCCAGGGAAGAGACAGGAGGGCTAGAGAGCTGAGCGCGACACTTTATCAATTCTGTTGGGGTAGAAACAATAGAGGAGCAGAGACCACCAATAGTGCCTGCAAGAAAGGTCGAGAATAGGGGTACGGATTCCGGGTGGTTGGGGGTGTAAGTAGGGTGGAGGAATGAGAGTGTTCTGTTATAAGTTACAAAGAGAAGGGCGTTGAGAGCACCAGTTGAGAGAATGGGCGCGGCAGTTCCACGGATAAGGGAGCTCGGGGTTTGGAAAGCGGTAGTAATAGGCGGAGTAGAAGTGAGCGGGGTGGAAATCGGAGAGAGACCATTGGCACGTGACAAACTTGAGGCTTGGAGACGGACCTTGAGAAGATCGAGAGGGTTGCCGATTATGATACTGATGGCACCACTAATGTAACCAGCCCAGAAATCTGCGGACATTGTGCGATCTGTGTGGATAATAAAGGGGTATTGGCAATTGTCTTTATCGTGGGATCATGTCTCGGATCAACGGATAGTATGCCGATTGAAATCTGAGCGATAAATTGCGGATAGGCTGTAGATTGGTTCCCGCTCTGAAACACACAGCACTTTCTATGAAAGCCCTGTGTGGCTTGCTTCACTATATATACAGTAAACAACTGTACTGTTCCTCCGCTCAATTCCAGCTTTGCCTATGATAGAAAGCTAGCTATCATAGTTGGCGCTAAGCAACAGAGACGCCTTTGCACTTCAAAATAAGATATCCACCGGTATTGATTTAGACTCTCAATAACTTGAATTCATTCGCTCGTTTTTGCTGGCACCCAAGAGGTTCAAAGAAAGAATCGGGAATATAAGTTGGCGGGGTACATTCCTTGGCGAAGCATTAACCTTAGCTTTCTGGAACGGAATAATGAATTTCCGAACCAAATCAAACAGACAGAAATCAAGGGGTCCATCAGTACCATGAAGCATAGCTAGAGTATCCACCCAAGAGACTCTATTCGATACACAACGGCAATCAACCAAATACTGCTAAACTTCCTATAATGTATGATTCTAATATATTAAAATGAACAGGGAAGCAACTCAAGGGCTGGCGTCTTTTGTCCCATTTTGGAATTGGAGGCCCTTGCTTCACACGAAAACCAATTTTATCACGAGGGGGCCGAGAGGGCTTTTTTTCATACAGAGAGGTCCACAAATTTAGACGACACCGACATATACCTACAATGTAGAATGGCTTTGCACTAAATCTTGGACAGAAGGCAATACAGAAATGCTTGGAACCAACCCCTTCTCCCCTTTAAGTTTCAAAATCTTGCTTTGGAAGTCTGAAAGCCGTATACAACGTCAACATGCGCCATTACAGTTACACGAATTCCATATTTTCGTCGTCACCCATCCAGGCTCCATCTGAAGAGGAACTAACCTTGACCAACAGTAGATCGACGATGTCACTATGCAAATATGGACAGCCAAGAAGCATTCCATGTTAGAAAGAGACAGGACGTCCCTCTTGAGACAAGCATCTCATATCATATCCGTGGTACAAAGAGAGGGGGCTGGAGAATTTTGTAGTGACTCAGTCACCGAAAAAGTCCAAAGTTCAAACCCAGTCATACTATGCAAGTCTCAAAAACAAATTATGGTGTTGATCAAAACCGTACAGGAGACAGATATGCTTCACGAGACGTATCTTAGTAGAAGAGTTAGATATAAGGATCGGCAGGAAAATCGATGATCTCTGAGATTCTGTGGCGGAGGCCCTCGAGAAGTCGAGAGGTGTGTGGTACACAGAGGATGGCTCGGCTACAAATGATAGAAGACAGGGCGAGGAAAGAAGTGCGTAAATAGGTCGAGACACAAATCCTTCTCACAATTTATTTCTGGCTGACACCATGGAACTTCTCAGTTCTGATTGATTGTGCTTCCGCTGCATACTCAGTATGCGAATTCTGAGCTCTAGATCCAGCATAGCTTTTCTTCTACTTGAACTCTGTATTTTCACTTTGACGCCTCCGCAGCTTGCTGCCACGGGTGATTCCTTCGGCTCTGTTGTTTACTTATTGTAATGTTTTAGAGCCTAGGAGACAATCAATGTGCCGAGATTCTGGACAGACGCTTTTCGCATAGCGTAGAGTCTCTATATCAGGCAAACTCATTCGGTAACAGGGTAGTAATATATAGTAATGTATGAGAGTATGAGAGAGGTTGTATGATGTATATTGGGACAACTATAAGTCTTTGAAAGGGGGAGGTGGGGTTACAAGGGGTTCCCTCTTTGTATTCGCACAAGGGCTCTAGATCAGCGCGTACGCCAGCTCGCCCACAATTCATATGCGCGGAGGTTTCTTTTTACTGCATCGTTATTCTGGGAGTGGGTTGTATCAGGAAATGAGAGCTCCCGGAGCCAGTCTTTCTCTGATGATTTCTTTCAGATATTTGAGTCTGCAGCATGATCTCGTTAGGCTCATGATTTTGATTTGGGTGAGGTCTTGCTAACAAATTCCAGAAACGTTTTTCTCGCCGAAGGGATTCTTATCGTATGCATCATTCAGCTTCCGCAGTGCTTTCCAAACGGGCAATGAAGACACTGCCTACAAGGCAGCAACGGGGCTTCTAGTATTCGGTGTTTTTGTACCTATTGCGAGACGTGTTTCTTCGATGTTGATCAGAAATACTAGAGCTCCTCCTATCAATCTTCTTGGAGGTTAGCTTTTATAATAATAAGGAATATTATTACTATAATGATAGTGGAAGATCTAGTCAATTTAAGCTTAAGGGATAAATCGAATATATATAAGAGTTGAATTGAAGTCAATTTAGAAGAGCTAGGCTGAGTTGAGATGAAATTGCTTACTTTTTCCTAGGTTTTCTTTAAAGAATATCCTAGGTTTATATAGTTTATAATGAAATTCTAGTATTTTCTATGCTTATAAATAAGATTGATTTGAATCGAATCTTATAGAATAATTTTATATAATAAAAAGAAAGTACAACCAATCGATTTAGCGATATTTCCCATATACTTCTATTTAATTCCATTTCATTCTATTCCATTATAAATCAATTTGATAAGAGATACTATTATATAACTATATGATAATATGATTTTATAATATAAGATCATATTATATGCATATTAGTCATTAAGATATCTCTTAATTAGTAAGATATTAATAAGTGATTTAGTGGACTTATTATGAATCCTCACAAGTCTTATAAACATAGGAAGTCTCTTTCAGATCGCAGACACGTTTGGACTTTCCACGACGAATGATTTAGTCACGATCTCTTCGTCACACTATTTATTCTTAATTTTGGCAGTGGAGAGTTTTCCAAAGACTTACACATTCAAAGACGATTCACAGAAGGGGAAAAGGGTTGCAAAACATTTCAAGACTCTACACCATAATTCATTTTACTACCATCTTCGAACATGTACACATAGGGATAAGCTAGGGAAGAGACACACCATTGCCGGAATGGACCAGTTGAATAGAACTTTCAAATCTCGAGCTAGCATTCCAAACAGTCCTCGAGGTACTTTCATGTCAGCCTGTGCGAGAATTGGATGTTGAACATCATCCAAGTTGTCACAGGCAAGAGATAGATGAGCAAATAAATGTTCGAAAATACAAAATACATTTCACCCCATTGGATAGGAGGAAGGGTCCCGCATTAGAATTGCAATTGTAATTTTGAGTCTTTTGTAGTTCATTACTGTAAATTATCCAACACCACGAAAGTGACCAAGATATGTCACAGACGTCAGATTGGAGATGACAATAGTGTGCAACGAGTATTGGCTTTCAATGAATAGCATTGTAATCATACAACAGTCAGCTCCTCAATGATGCACTTTCTTTGTTATGTGTAAAGAACTTTCAACCAGCAAAGCAGTTATCGGGCCATGATAGATGCGATGTGAACTGTCTCTGGACTTCTTACAAATCTTCTTAAGGTAATGGATGCAATGCCAAATTAAGGAAAGCAAAGGGTTTGAAGGGGGCAAAGGAGAATCACAGGTGGCGACTGTTGAGAGGAAACTACCAATCAGTGATTTCTTTGACCATGCGAGAATCAAATTTAGCTGTGAGAT